TATATATATATAATAAATGTGAAAAATAAATTTGAGAATTCAAGAAGGATATATTACCAAGACCCAACTTCAATCCTAAGTTGTGCCCTGCAATTGAAGTTGCAAAAAACTAGTGTCAGCAAAAGAAATAACAAATATGGCATGAACCAAATTATATTTCTCATCCATATATATAAATATATATTAAAAATAAATTATATTTCTGGCCGTAAAAATCGTAGAATGGTGGCCAACAACCACGGGATATATACGCACATTGAAATAGCTAAATTAGCAGTTAATAGTTGGAAAAATCATTGCTCTTGTTACGTGCAAGTGGGGGATTGATTAAAGGCTGCTTAAGAGTTGAACAATTAGGAAGGCTCGGCCATTGCTTAAGTGGAGGATTGATTTTAGTCCCAAAACGATCGTGTGTCTTAAAATCCTTTGAAGAGACTAGTTTTTGTAGTGAGGTTGCATTTGAACATGGTTAGGCTTTGGAAAGTCAAGGAAAGAAATAAATGCAAGGTTGGGAAGACTCAAACTGTAAAAGGATTCAAAATCCTTGGGTTTTATCTGCTATGTAAGCAGTTTGTCATAAAGAGTAATGGTGTTAGGTTGAGAGATTTGTTTAGACTGATACCATCTTCCTCCTTTCTCTAGCTAGATCTTCTTGACTTTTCGTTATATTCATCAAGTAAAGACAACCCTCTGAGTAAAAGGGAATGTGAAGTAGACCAACTATGAAGAGAACAACAAAAAACAAGAGTTTCCACAAGCAAGAACAGAACAAACACAACAAAAACATAAGCAACTTCACTCACTGGAGGGATGAAACACTTCATTGAGTGAAGCTAGTTTATGTTTGTCGATTCCATTTGAAAAAGCTTTATGCGTTAAGGTAAATATCTCGGTATGAGGGAGCAACCGGATTGTGCCTCGCGTGCAATATTTTTTTTATTATTAAAAATAATAATAGGAGAAGGAAAGAAAAAAACAACAGACTCTGCAATGCAAGAAGGCAACCCGAAGTAGAGTATAGAGATTTTCGCACATACCTTTGCCGCAGTGAAATCTTTGCTTCTTAACTAGACACTGACGGCCTCTGGAATAACACTTGATACACTGATGGGATACTCTAAGTCGGACAGCTACGCTGGGAGTTAACATGTGAAACAAGCGATTGCTATGTTGGGAATTTTCCTTCAGTGGATTCTTGTCCTGTGGAATATTGGTAGAAGGGAGCTGAATAATTGGACAATTACAAAGGCTTGACATATTGTC